TCCTTCTGAGGAGTGTCTGGTGGGTTTGAACCTCCAGCCTTCTGGTTAGCAGTCAAGTGCTTTACCCCTATGCTACCAGAGCTCCTATACAAAGAAATAACATAGAATCTGCAAAACACTACATAATGTAGATGAAGTTTGAGGACATTATGCTGAGTGATATAAATCAATCACAGTCCATTATTGTAAATTAAAGTCAAGGAAAGGCTTACACATGGAAGGAAATTTTCTTTGTTACTTCTGTAGTGATACTGCCTCGGAAACCCAAGGAGGGATCGCTATGAGTCAGGGCTGACTTGATGGCACATAACAACAACAACAACAAGGGATAAAGACAGGAGGGAACACTGTTAGATAGGCAGAGACAAGTATTGATTTGGGTGAAGAGAAGGGCAATGTACCAAATATGAGTGATTAACATGGTGGCATTGAGGAAAAGGAAGACATAGAGAGGTACATGGGAGGTACAGACGACAAAGATGAACCCTTTTGCACATACAGTACTGCATTGTCAGTGAAGGGAAACATGGATATATGGGTGGATAGATGGGTGGACAGGCTGAACGATTAGGTATGTCTAGACAGGGGGGAGTGTGCCCAAGACCATGTATAGGGTTGGTATATTTTGTAAGAATACCCAGGTATATAGTTCAGCTGACAAGGGAGAAGGTTTAGTCACTTCTTGGCCACAGCCAGCTACCCAGAAGGAGCGAGTAGTTGGACCTGTGGGTTAGGGATCATAGTCACATGAGACATCAAGCTCAATTAACATAACATTACACAAAGACATTGTTCCACATCCTACTTTGGTGAGTAATGCCTAAGATTTAAAAAGCTTGCAAATGACTATCTAGATGCAACAATGGTTCTCTCCTCATCCAGAGCAGAGAAGAAAGTAGAAAACCAAGGACATACAGAAACAATTAGTCCAAGCAGCTGGTTTATCATGTGATTCTCAGCCTATACCACTATGAGATCAGAGGAACTGGATGGTGCCTGGCTACTGCTGTCAACCACTTGGAGGGGTATCTATGTAGGAGACCCTGGACAGAGTGGGATAACAAAAATTAAAAATCATTGGGGGTGGGGAAAGGACCAGGTTTGCTGGTTTAACAGAGCCTGATAGTCCCACTGAGGCTATGGTCCCTTCAGGTCTGGAAGTGAACCCACTCCTATGGCTTCCAGCCAAACAAAAGACAGGCATATGAGCTGAACATTTACATTAGGTAGATACACTCTTTGGAGAGATCAATCATGGGAGAATAGAAGGGCTGTGTATGCACAGGGAGACAGCTCAGAGGGCAGGAGTGCATGGGAGGGAAGGACACAGGGAAGAAGTAACTATGGGGAGGAAGTGGGAGTGGAGCTGTTGCATCTTGGGAAATTGCAATGAATGTCATGAGAAAAAGTGTATTTGAGCTGCTGTATGGAAAGTGAATTTGCTCTGTAAACTTTCACCCAAATCACAATAAAAATAAAAAATAAATAAACTACAAAATATTTTTTCCTCCCTTACTGATTGCTGATTGCCATTGCAAACATCAGTGTTTTTTTTTTTTTCTCCCACCCTCTCTTGCTAATTGCCATTGCTAACATCAGCAGAGTTAGACTTCTAAAGATGACTGAATTAATGTTTGTTGCATTGAGATAGGAATTTTAGCAAATTGTGATAATGTTCACTCAATATTAAATGCTGTCTACTATTTCTGTTTATTTTTTGGAAAGAAAAATGGCTGGCTCTCTAACAGAAGTTTGTGAATTTTGTCAAGATATTACAATATCAGCATCGAGAGACACTGTATTTTTTTCCTTAAGAAAATACCAGTGCACTGCAAAGGTGCACCTGAAGCTGTATATCTATTGTGGGGAGCTGATTGGAGTAAAAAGACAAATATGGGTTTCTGGTGCTACCCAAAAACTATTTGGTTGGGAGCTCTCGTAGCATAGTGGCTAAGGCACTTGACTGCTCACCAGATGGCTGGCGGTTCAAACCCATCAGCCACTCCTTGGAAGGAAGGTTGCGCAATGCTACTTCCGTAGTGACATTGCCTCAGAAACCCAAGGAGGGGTCGCTATGAGTCAGGGCTGACTCGATGGCACATAACAACAACAACAACATCTCCTCCAGATAAGCTATACATTTATAAATTTTAACTCTTTTCTTATATACATTTGTTTTGGTCTTCTACATTTGTTTTAGCCACTCTAAGAGAAAATTTCTAACAGAAAATGCCATTAGTGGGTGGTTTTAACAAACAGAAATTTATTCTCTTACAGTTTTGGAGGCTAGAGGTCTGAGTTCAAAGTGCCAAGCTCTAGAGGCTGGGTGAAGACATCTCAACCTTGACCTTCAGCTCTGCTTCTTGCTCCTGGCCCAATGGAGCTGGCGGCATCTCTTCACTCAGAGAGCTGCTCAATGCTAAGGCTAACAAGCCCAAAGTCAACAAGTAAAATGGCACAATCCCAAATTTATCAAGCAACACAGCAGACCACTAATTCAAGTCTAAAAACAGTCCCAAGATGGGTAAACAACATGGCAGGTGCTGAACGAAGAATCAGCTACCTGCAGGGTCAACCTTCCCAAAAAGTTCCAGACCATTTCCAAAGCTTCTCCTTATATACTGGAAACATACCACATCCCTAAGGCAGCCACTCAGCTGCTGCAGTAGATTCCACAATGGACTTGATTACTAGTCATGGGGAATACTATATCCAGCTGCCTAGCCACTCAAAACCAGGCCCAACCAAGTTGACATCCAACTTAACTACCACAACATTTTAGTAAGGTACCATGAAGATCACCTATTCAAGTATCTCAGCTTTGGTAGTTGTTTATATTGTAGAAAACCATTCCACTCAACTGGCCATCAGTACTCTCTAGAATTCTGATTAGCCAAAAAAGCACAGAGTTATAGGATCAACCATGGGAGATGTCACACTTTGTCTACTGACTTACAAAAACAAGATCTCTATGCCATTTTACATTACATTTATGCTGAAGGTAATTATGTGAAGAAATAGTACATTTTCAGGGTTTAAGAACTATTATACTGGGAAAGGCATATATGCAAGGGGGAACCTCAGAACTCAGAAGATTATACTTGATGTATCATTTATAGAGGAATGACAACTGGTTATGAGTGAGGACTTCAAATCTGTGGTAAAATATTTTGTCTGTCAAGGGAGTGGCTATTAATTTAGTATTTCTCCAAATCATATCCAAACTTGTTAGCGTAAACCAAAAAAACTTCATTGCCATAGAGTCAATTCCAACTCATAGTGACCCCCTTTAGGTTTCTAAGGTGGTTAATCTTTACAGAAGTAGAGTACCCCATCTTCCTTCCACAGAGCACCTGGTGGGGTTGAACCACAGACTTTCCAAGTAACAGTCAAATGCCTTAGGCACCACGGTAGTGTATTTCTATTTATTTTGCACACTGAACTAAGTCTATAATTAATAGGATTTGCTTAGAAAAGTAATTTGACTATTTTGGGTTTATTAATAATGTAGTCTATGAACACTGTAAAATCAGTTTTGGGATTTACAAATAAGAAAAAAATGGAGTAATAAATTAAGATATATTACATTTCAATTCCTTCTTAATTTCTGCTGCCTTACTACATGCTTTCCATGAGCTGTTGTTACTAGCTGCATTGAATCACCTGACTCATGGTACCCCAATACACTGGAGAAAGAAACTCTGCCCAGTCTTGTGCCATCCCCATTGTCAGTTCTGGATCAGAACATTGTAACACATACGGTTTTCACTGGCTGATTTTCAGTAGATTTCCAGACCTTTCTTCCTAGCTCATCTTAGTCTGGAAGCTGCACTGAAACCTGTTCAACAGCATAGCATCATGAAAGCCTACACTGACAGATGGGTGGTGGCTTTGCATGAGATGCATTGGTCAGAAATTGAACTTGGGTCTCTTGCATGGAAGGTGAGAATTCTACTGCTGAACCACCACTGTCCCTCTTCCATGAGATAGGAACTGTGATATTATGATAGGCAGAATATAGTTCTTGTTCCCAAATTACTCCCTGCCTAGAAAGAGAAAATATAAGTAAATAGGCAATTGCCTTTCTGGATTCCCTTCATGCATTTCTGTGACCATTAGTATAATACACAGGAAACAAAGATAAAATACCTTCTCCCACTTAAAACACAATCTATTGGCTTATTAATCACTATCTGTTATCTCTTCCCCACTGATTATAGGCATATTTTCCATCACACTGTATTTATTAGAACTTTCATTGGAAATTTCTCTGTCCCAAATCATAAACTCTTCAGTATCAGACAGTGTACCTTGCTTCAGGAAAACAAATTTACCATCCCTATAACATATATGTTTACAATGTCTTTTAAATGGCTTTCTTCACATTTCCTAGGTTGAGTCTTCAGTAGTTCATGCTGAAGGTACGTTATGGTCTCGTAACTGATCTTTTCTCTCAGCCATTTCACTCCAATTTATCATGACATCTAAATCTTATTTTAGTATGTATCTAAAATCTATATTCCCCAGGAATATTCCTCTGGCCACTGCTAATGACACTTATTGCTCTGAATTGTGGGTTCTGCATCTGTACTGTTCATTTAGCAGTGGGACATAGAATATGTCTTTTTGCTGGATAATTGTTTTATGTTCATTGACTCAGTGGCAGTGGGTTTGTTTTTTGGATTAGTGCAGCACAAAGCTCCTTCAAGCTGGAGCCATCTTGGGAGCTCTGAGCATAACATCATGTGACTTAGTCTTATGAGTGACTTGTAAAGGGTCTCTTAAACTGGATCCCTCAGAGTATCAAGCATAATGAGTGATAAGTTCACAATATAAACCCAAAGCCATATATTGAAAGACTGTAATACTAAGCTACTCTTTATGATACCATAGAAAATCATGCTTAAAAAATGCCAATATGAATAAAACTTTAAGAAATTCTCAACATAAAAACTTGGTCATTACCTTATTAAATGCAACAGTCAATGTGAGTTACTTACTAATGCAAATTTTTTGTTGAGAATCATCTGTTCCACCAACGATGACTCATTATGGAAGAGGTGGGGCTGCATATGGCTCCACATATGAGGAAACCACCAGAACTCATCCACAGACCCCAAAAGACAGTCATCCCCTTCATCTTCCTCTTCAGTTCCTTCAGGGAAAATAAAAAAAAAGGTTATGCGATGACTTATACTGATTATCTATCTATCTATCTAATCTTATCTATGTATTTAGAAGATATGATACATAACATCCTGTCAATCTATCTATACTTATGTATATATTTAGAAGATATCAGATACACGATCATATATACATACCATGTTTTGAACATGAAATGTAGCAAAGGAACATCTGTTAGTTGGGGAACCACTAGAGAAAGTGACAAAACTCTTCTAAAAATCTGCTAAATATGAGACATGTATATAAAATTAATGCAAAAATGAAATACATAATCATTTCCCAAGCCCTTAGAACTCTTTTAGCATTTGTCTATGTTATCAAGTAGAACAGAAAGTTATGCTTTTCTGGATCATTCAACAAAAATATAGCTTGGAGAGAATAGTAAATCTAATTGTGGGAATATGAAAAGGGAAACGTGTCAGAGGTCCACAGTAGATCATTTTGACAGAGGTTGTCTACATAATCACAATACAATATTTTCCTTCTTTAGTTAGGTTACTTTTTAGGTCTGAGAAGAAGCTACTTAGTATTTGGAGGAAAGTAAGGCACGAAGAGAGTTTCTGGGTGGTACAAATGGTTAACACAGTCACCTGCTAACTGAAAGATTGGAGATACAAGTCCATCCAGAAATGCCTCAAAAGAAAGGCCTGGTAATCTACTTCCAAAAAATCAGCAATTGAAAACCTACAGAGCACAGTTCTACTAAGACACACATTAAATTTCCATGACTCACAATTGACTTGACAGAAACTGGCCAGTTAAGGCATGGCATAGGAGACAAAAGAGAATGTGGAAACCATTACTGTGAAAGAAGAGAAAAGCCAGTGGGACTAAGAAAGAGCGAGGAAGCAGTGGCAGGAAAGCAAGAGAAAGGAGAGAAAAACCATGGGGACCAGGACAGAGTGAGGAACCAGTAGCAGGGATCCAGGTAAGGGGAGAGACCAAGGCCCCACCCCTCAAGTGGCGGGAAAGCAGAGGGAAGGAGAGAAAAGCCAGGGGGACCAGGAAGCAGTGGCAGGGATCCAGGCAAGGGGAGGGTGGAGAGGTTTCGAACAGCTAAGGGAGACAAATCTGTCTGTCGGTTTTACCTACTCTGGTGGTGTGCTGCTGTGAGGCTTGAGGTTGTGCCACCAGTGTCTCTAAAGCCAGCAGGGTTGCATATGGTGCACAGGTTTCAGCACGGCTTTCAGACTGAGACAGACTAGGAAGAAAGAAGAAGGAAGAAGCCATCCACTTCTCAAAGAACTGGCCAGGGAAAACCTTATGAATAGCAGAGAAACACTATCTGATACATTACTGTGCAACTTCATGAATAGCCCAGAAACACTGTTTTATACAGTGCAGGAAGATGAGCCACTTAGGTCAGAAAGCTCTCAAAATACGATTGGGAAAGAGCTGCATCATCAGATATGGATATGATATGGATAAAGTAAAGCTTTCAAGACCTCCATTAGCTGACATGGCATGACTCAAATTGAGGAGAACAGCTGCAGACATCCATTAATAATTGGAACATGGAATGTATGAAGTATGAATCTAGGAAAATTGGAAGTTGTCAAAAATGAAATGGAACACATAAAGATTGATATTCTAGGCATTAGTGAGCTGAAATGGACTGGTTTTGGCCATTTTGAATCAGACAACCATATGATGTACTATGCTGGGAATGACAAATTGACAAGGAATGGCATGGCATTCATCATCACAAAGGATGTTTCCAGATCTGTCCTGAAGTACAATGCTATCAGTGATCGGAAAATATTCATAGGCCTACAAGGAGGACCAGTTAATACAACTATTATTCAAATTTATGCACCAACCACCAAAGCCAAAGATGAGGTAATTGAAGATTTTTGTCAGCTTCTGCGGTCTGAAATTGACCAAATGTGTAATCAAGATGTGTAAATTATCACTGGTGACTGGACTGCAAAAGTTGGAAACAAAGAAGAATCACTGGTAGTTGGAAAATTTGGCCTTGGTGACAGAAACAATACTGGATATTGTACGATTGAATTTTGCAAGACCAATGACTTATTCATTGCAAATACCCTTTTTCAACAACACAAATGACACCTATACATGTGGACTTCACCAGATGAACACACAGGAATCATATTGACTACATGTATAGCAAGAGGAGATGAAAAAGCTCAATCTCTTCAGCCAAAACAAGGCCAGGAGCTGATTTTGGAACAGATCATCAACTTCTCATAGACACAAGTTCAACTTGAAGTTAAAGACAATTAGAAGTTCATGAGACACAAAATACCTTGAATATATCTCTCCTGAATTTAGAGACCATCTAAAGAACAGATTTGATGAATTGAACATCAATGACAGAAAACCAGAAGAATTGTGGGATGACATCAAGAGCATCATCCATGAACAAAGCAAGAGGTCACTAAAAAGATGAGAAAGAAAGGACAAAAATGGATGCCAGAAGAGACTCTGAAACTTGCCTTTGAGTGAAGAGTAGCGAAAGCAAATGGAAAAAATGACAAGATAAAAGAGCTGAACAGATTTCAAAGAGCAGCTCGAGCAGACAAAGCCAATTATTATAATGCAATGTGAAAAGACTTGGAGCTCAAAAATCAAAAGGGAAGAACACACTCAGCAGTTCTCAAGCTGAAAGAACTGAATAAAAAAAATTAAGCCTCAAGTTGCAATACTGAAAGGTTCTATGGGCAAAATATTGAATGATGCAGGAAACATCAAAAGAAAATGGAAGGAATACACAGAGACACTGTACCAAAAAGAACTGTTCGATCTTCATCCATTTCAGGAGGTGGCGTATGATCATAGCCAATGGTACTGAAGGAAGATATCAGAGCTTCACGGAAGGAATTGGCGAAGAACAAAGCTCCAGGAATTGACAGAATACCCATTGATATGTTTCAACAAATAGATGCCTCACTGGAGGCACTCACTTTGTTATGCCAAGAGATTTGGAAGACAGCTACCTGGTGAACTGACTGGAAGAGATCCATATTTGTACCCATTCCAAAGAAAGGTGATTCCACAGAATGTGGAAATTATCAAACAATATCATTAATATTGCATACAAGTAAAATCTTACTGAAGATAATTTAAAAACGGTTGCAGCAGTATATTGAAAGAGAACTTCCAGAGGTGTAAGCTGGATTCAGAAGAGGATGTGGAACAAGGGATATCATTGCTGATGTCAGATGGATCTTGGCTCAAAGCAAAGGACACCTGAAAGATGTTTGTTTGTGTTTTATTGATTATGCAAAGCCATTTTATTGTGTGGATCATAACAAATTGTGGATAACATTGAGAAGAACGGGAATTCCACAATACTTAATTGTACTCATGAGGAACCTGTACATTGACAAGGAGGCTGTTGTTCAAATAGAACAAGGAGACTCTGCATGGTTTAAGATCAAGAAGGGACTGTGTCAGGGTTGTATCCCTTCACCATACTTACTTGATCTATATGTTGAGCAAATAATCCGAGAAGCTAGACTATATGAAGAAGAATGTGGCATCAAGATTTGAGGAAGAATCATTAACAACCTGTGATATGCTGATAACACAACTTTGCTTGCCGAAAGTGAGGATGACTTGAAGCACTTGTAATAAAGATTGAAGATTACAGTCTGCAGTATGGATTGCATCTCAATACAAAGAAAACAAAAATCCTCACAACTGGACCTATAAGCAGCATCACAATAATTGGAGAAAAGATTGAAGTTGTCAAAGAGTTCACATTGCTTGGTTCTACAATTGATGCCAATGGAAGCAGCAGTCAGGACATCAGATGACTTACAGCACTGGGCAAGTTGGCTGCAAAAGACTTCTTTCAAGTTCTGAGGAGTAAAGATGTCTCCTTGAGGACTAAGGTGCACCTGACACAAACGTGGTATTTTCAGTTGCCTCTTATGCATGTGAGAGCTGGACATTGAATAAGGAAGACCAAAGAAGAATTGATACTTTTGAGTTTAGTGCTGGTGAAGAATGCTGAGGGTACCATGGACTGCTAAAAAAGGAACAGTTCTGTCCTGGAAGAAGTGCAGCCAAAATACTCCTTGGAAGTGAGACTGGCCAGACTTCGTCTCACCTATATTGGTCATGTTATCAGAAGGGGCCAATCCTTGCAGAAGGATGTCATGCTTGTTAAGGTGGAGAGTCAACAAAAGGGGGAAGGCACTCAACCAGATGGACTGACACAGTGGTTGTGACAATGGGCTCAAGAATAGAAAGGATCATGGAGCTAGCATGGGACTGGATGGTGTTTCGTTCCGCTTTTCATAGGGTCACTATGAGTTAGACATGACTTGATGACATCTAACAATGACAAAAATATTACTGTGAAAATTAGAGAAACTGAAAGAAAGGAAAGAGAAAGGATAAAAATGATAGAGAGAATAAGCTGAGAAGTGACAAAGTCACAGAAAAACAACAAAACTGCTCCTTAGTGATGCTCATGCTCTTCATGTTTGTCCTTTCTCTCAACTTTTTGGAAGCAGACTCTTGCTCCATCCACCACTTCTATTTCCTTTTTTCATATATGGGCTTGTTTTATTCTTCCATTCTCCCCTACCTGCAGTTAACTTGAATGTGGGAAATTCTGTCCACTTAACTCATATGAGGGGATGGGTTTCTTTATAATTTCCTCAAACACAGGGTCTTCACTAAAGCATGAAATGAGAGTAATACAAGTCCTTATTCCTTTTTTGGCATATCAGCAGATGATATTAATCATCAAATTATGCATCCACACTTAAATTTTATCCATAACAATGAATTCAATAGTTTCCTACAGCAATGGATTCTGCACATGACTCCTCTCTGTGTGGAGAAAAATCTCTCTTATTTCAAGGGCAGCTCTGATGCAACTGGTTTAAATAGGAGTCTAAAGACGGTGGCGGGTGGTTCCAGCAAGATGAAGGAATAGGCAGACAAGCTACACAGACCCTTGGCAACAAAGCAATGAGAGACTAATTGAAA